CTCCACGTCCTCGGCGAAGAGACAGCCGTTGTGGGAGCAGACCACCGCGACCCTCGTCCCCAGCACCCCCCCCCCCACGGCCTTCCCCATCGTCCGCCGCACCGTCTCACAGGCCTGGGAGGGGCTCCAGTACTCCGCGCTAAAGCTCGCGGGGTCCCACACGCTCTTGATCAGGTTGTGGATCGAAAAGGGGGCGGCGTCGTTGCTTTCATCCGCGAAGAGGCCCAGGTGAAAGTCACTTGGCCCCCCGTAGCGATGAAGGAAGTGCGCCAAAAGCATCTGCGACGTCCGTAGGAGGCAGCCCCAACCTTGATCCGAGTGAACCACAAGCCCCGTGCTTGTCGAGATGCCCTCAAAGTTCGACCGGTACGTGAAAAGGTCGTACGGTTTCTGCAGTTCCATCTCCAATTCTTTGGGAGTCGTGATGGGATGATCCGCGCCGCCTATAAGCTGAAGGGGATAACATGGCTGTGATGGAAAGAAGGCATCCCATAGCGTATCAATATGTCTGAGCATGCTAGGTCAGAAGCAATAATTACAAATGTGTAATTTTAGTATCCAATTCAGTGGTATATAGACGTTTTCCTGTTTTTCTACTTCATGCAAAGTAATTCGTATTACATTGGGAAAACATTAAAATGCATTGTTTACACTGGGTAAATAACATAGATCAGCGTGAAAACGGGAGAAGGAAAAAAAGCAAGTGAAATAAGGTGTACTTGTGGTGAAAAAAAAGATAGCGAAGCACGAACAAAAGAGATAGGTGCACAATCAATAAAATAATAGTTAAGAAAAAATGAGAAGGATTCTGTGTTTAAAAATATGCATATATTGTGGAGAACCAAATTCTGACGTTCTTTTATATTGCGAACACGTGCCAGACAATTTCTAAGCACCCCTTACCTACGCTTGATAGGCTTTTTGAAACAGACGCCTTTGCACCTTTCCACTCGTCGCGTTCGAGTAATACGATGACCGTCCTTTAGCAATGCTAACAATAGCAACCAATGCTTCTATTGGATACC